TATTTAATGCATCTTCGAATATCTGCCTGTTTAAGTCTGTTTTTAATTTCTGGTAAAATGTTGTATTTATGATATCCCTCTGTAATCAGCTTTCATATCCATCTGTTAGTTTTAGCTTGTTGGTGTTCTGTTTAGTTCTGTGTCTTATATATGAATTATGGTGGCTATGCACTACAACTAGTACTAATGTACAAGGTACAAGTGATGATAGTAGTTTTATTGACCTCATGTATACTGTATCTGTTAATTCTTTTGTTACTCCTTTTGATGGGTTATTTTTCTCATATTTTAGGGTGTCAATTCCACTGTTTCTTTTGTTCACAGTAGTCCAATTTCTAATGCTTCGTGGTTTTCCTTTTTCCTTCCTAACTTCCTCAACCTTGAGTGTTTCTATTCTATACACTCATGTCAAGTCAATTAAGGAGTCTACTTAAAATTGGATATAATTAACACCACTAAAAGTAATCCTTAGATCCGTTTTGATACCCTGATCTCACCATAATAATTGAAGGGAATTCTCATGCATTTTGGAAAAACCTTGACATGGATGCTCCTGAATCCACTGGAATTTTTTTAACTATGTTCTTTTTTTTTTTTTTTTCCTTTGTATTATCCTTGTTGATTGATGATCAAATCTGAAATCATTTAATTAATCATCTGTTCTGGTGTCTCAAGTGTTTTGGGGCGGAAGAGTAATTAGTCTGATGCTTATTTATGTGTGTTTACTCTATTGCAGAGTGGTGACTTAAGATATTGTCAGAAGTGTTCCCATTACAAGCCTCCTCGTGCACATCATTGTCGAGTATGCAAAAGATGTGTTTTGCGGATGGTATGTGTCTGTTTAATTGTACCTGACTGAGTATATTGTAGTGGATATGCATTTAAATAGTGTTTTATGAATGCCAGGACCACCACTGCATCTGGATAAATAATTGTGTTGGCCATGCTAACTATAAGGCCTTCTTTATCTTTGTCCTATATGCTGTAATAGCATGCATACACTCTGCGGTACGTTCACGTTGTGTCATCTAGACATCAAATGCTGATGCTTTCTTTTCCTTTTTATATTATATTTTATTTTAATTGAATTTGTTTATTTTTAAATTTTTTTTTTCTTTCCTCGAAGAGAATAATGAGGGATTAACATACATTACTAAAATCATATTTTTGATTCTTACCCTTTTGCATTTTTCAGGTATTGCTTCTGGGTAGTATAATTTATGACACTGTAAAGGATGAACAGCAAAACGAAGAATCATCAAGAACTGTATATGTAAAGCTTCCATTGCGTTTTTCTTTCTCTTAATCATTTAATTTTGGGTAATTGTTGTATTAAATTATTCTATTTTCTAGGGTGATATTTATTTTCTTGCTTGGAACCCATGTGGGATATTCGTTGGTTCAATCGTATATTTTCTTCACAGGTGGTATCATGTCTGCTTTTATTTCCTTTGACTATAGCACTTGGCGTTCTTCTTGGTTGGCATATCTACCTCACTCTACGAAATAAGACTACTATTGAGGTTTGCATTCATCAAATTGGTGTTATATATTGATCATTTCTTTATTGCCTATTGGTTTTTCATTTTATTTTGGACATAAATTGCAGTATTATGAAGGAGTCAGAGCCATGTGGCTTGCAGAGAAAGGAGGAGAAGTGTACAGACATCCTTATGATCTTGGTGCTTTTGAAAACTTAACTTTGGTAAGTTTCCTACATATAACTAGTATTTATTTTGCAAGCAGGGTATGCTGTTGATATAAAACAAATTATCCTCGTGCATATGTTTTGGGCTGTGTGCTTTAGCTGTTGTATCATAACTACTTGAACTTATCTCTTCAATTTAATCTGTTTGAACTCTTCTATGTATGGTAGAGTCTAGGGTATTTTACTAAATTTCTTTTTGATTTGAACTTGCTTGAATTTGTAGCTTTTTTTTTTTTCACAACAAAAAGAAATTGTGTGTGTGTGTGTATGGGGGGGGGGGGGGGTGGAGGTTGGTTTCAATCTGTTTTTAAGGCTTGTGGCTGAAGATTAGATGTGAGATAGGATTTGAGCGTTTATTCTTTGGTTTGCAAGTGTTCTTGGAAGGACATGATTCTTAATCTTCAGTATCGTGACTACATTTTCTTTCTTCATACTACGTATAAATTATCGATTTCAATTTCTGGCCTTGAGAACAACTATAGCATAGTCTCACTCACTAGCTACTTTTAGTGACTGGAGCTTACAAAAGATCGCTGATCTTTTCTTTCTTTCTTTTTTTTTTTTTTGTTTTTTTTTTTTTTTTAATAAAAAGCCCTAAAAGTGACTGCAATCTTAGGGAGAAGGGTCGCAGAGGAGGTGGGTGGGTGTCAGATTGTGTATGAGAATGCAGGTTTAGGTCCTAGGCCCTACTAGCTCTAACAAATATTTGTGCCAATCAGCTTATAAAAACACAATTAAACTTAAAAATATGGTCGTTACCTCTTAATTTAGAATTAGGGTTATAATTCTATTCTTCCTATATAAAGAGCACATGGATGAAACAAAAGCAAGAAAGTTGCAAAGAATTGCATCTTGATATTAGGTAACAAAACAAGGCGAAAATTGCCAAGTACATACGCTTTAATGCCAGCCCCTGGCAACTCCTAATCAGCGAAAATACTAATATAAAAATGGTCTCCTGCACTGTTGACATATTGACGTCGGCTTGACATTTTTTTCAGATAGCCTTCTAACTTCTAAGACTATAGCGTATATATGGATGCTACCTTTGCTGAACAAGGGTTTAAGGACAAAAACGTAAATTCTTTGGAACTCATAAAGGCACCCACTGTAGAATGCTTCATTAAATGTTTTCATGCTTTAGATCTTAAACATGTCAGATTTATAAAGGGTAGTTGTATGGGGCTATCAAAATTTCTCCATGCTCCTGGATTGTTGGGTTAATTATTATTTCTTTTTTTTCTATTTTATTTTTTAAAAATTATATTAATTTTTATTTTAATTCATTTTCAAAAGGAAGAATGAAATACAAAATCCTTCCCTTTTCACCATCATCCTGCCTTTTCTCCCCTTTGTTGCCTTTCCATCTTTAGTACCAACCCTCTGTCATTCTCTCCTTTGGTTCAAATCCAATCACTTTTGTTACCTCCAACTTCTCCATATGTCCTCTTCACAGAACCTTGCTCACAGAATCCAATTGGAATTTGCCATTAGGGTTGCTTAACAATGCGTGCAGGCAGGCAATGGTGATTGAACAGATATTTACTTTTATTTTCCAATTCAAAATAACAATTTTAAAAATTATTGAACATTAAAGCTATCAATCCAGGAGTTTTCATAGGACCCTTCTACCAAAAGTTGGCATAAGTGGGCTTAGTATTAAGAGATTGCCAAAAGGTAGGACTATTCCTATCAATTGTTTTTTCAATAAAGGGATTCTTAAGTTGTTGATTGTCAATATCTCGTTTCTACAATTTTGTACAAGTCTATCTTTCCATTTTCAATTGCATTTCAATTCCTCTTTCTGTTTCCCTGTTGCTTAGTATACATGATCCTTAACTCTTGTAATAGGAATTTTGCTTTTAGATATCCTTCTCTTTAGGGTTTGTGTTTCTTACCCCTCAAATGCCAAAATTACAGACTGATTTTACTTCTGATGGTTCTTTGTTATCAGTACTGGCCTTGATTTTCTTGATAATAACCTTTCAATAATTAATTGTTCGGTTTATTTCCCTTCTTCAATAGGTCCTTGGGCCAAGTGTCTTCAGCTGGATATGCCCTACCTCAGGCCACATTGGTTCAGGTTTACGCTTCCCTACTGCATATGATAAGCTTACTGAATCATCATCAGAATAAAAAGAAATAATTTTGGTTATGAAGCTAAGTCACATTCAGTTTACATGGTGCTCCTGGGAGCACATATTGTTTCTTCGTCCAGAGTGTGTTAGATGCAGCTGCTGAATTGGCTTTCATGTCTGCGTCTAAATGCAAGTTTTGAGGCTATAACTACAGATTAGTCGAAATATATCAAAAGTTGAATGATTATTTGATGTGGATAGTTGTCGGTAAAATCTTCAGATCTGGAGTTACAAAATTCTGGAGTCCGAGAGACTAGAAACTGTTTGTGGCTGGTATACAACTGGCGTCTGGATATCATAACACAGCTGAAGCCTCGGTTCCATTACTATTAGGAGGATATGATTCATCATTTAATTTGTATCACACAATTGTTTTGTAACACAAGAAACTTGTAATATATTGGTGTATTTGTAATCTGAAATACCAATGGTCATGCATTTCTTGTTCATGAAATGAAACTACAGTAAAGATTGAAATTCATGAAAGACTGTAAAAACTAGTATAATATCCTCTCTGCTGAAGCATTTGATAACAAATTTGCGTAAAAAAAATAAAAATAAAAACCGATTTGACTAACTCAATCTTCAGCTTCGTTCACTACAGTTGTTCCACATTGGAATATTTTGGTGTTCATTATCGAAAATTTTCCAATCTAACATTGGTTAATCTATGTACAATTACAGTATTCCAATATAATTTAGGATTTATGTATTTTCATTTCTTACTTTTACTTCTAATAATATTATTTTCTTAACCTGGCCATATTTTTTGACCAAGCTTTGCACTTATACTTCCTCTACAAGTTAGACCCTGTTCTTTTGAGCTTTTGGACAGGGCAGGGCAGAGCAGATTTTAGCTGAGCAGGACAGATTTCATTATTATTATTATTATTTGATTTTTTTACACTTTTTATAACATTTGAAAATGTGTTAAATAATATAAAATATTAATTATTATCATTTAATATTAGTTATCATTATTATAAATTATTATTTTTAAGCAGGGCAGAGCAAATTTTAGCAGAGCAGAGCAAAACAGCTCAAAAGAACAGGGCCTTAGTAGGGCAAAAACCTTATCCAATAACTTACAGAAGAATATGAAATCTCTGACGTGGCCTCTTATCCATAAACCCACAAACCTGCTAATTTAAGCACCTTTGTTCATCATCTCCTAAGCTTTACCTTACCAAATTCCCAAAACTTCTAAATTCAGTTTGAAGCTAATGGCAACCATGACATCCTTCAAGTCCCAATTTCTGGTGAATCCATTGAAACCGTCGCAAACAACAGCAACAAGAAATTTAATCACGGTTCGATCTCCTCCTAACCTTCACCAGAAGAAGAGGTTTTCAGTGAAGGCTGCAGTGGGAGAGTTATCCTCTGATAGCACCACTTATTTGATTGCTGGTGCTACTGCTGTTGCTCTCCTTGGTACTGCCTTTCCCATCATTTTTTCCCGCAAGGATACGTACGTGTTCTCTTCCTCTCTCCTCCTGTTTTCGAGTGTACCTAATGTACTTATTTTTCGACACTCTGAAGTTTATGTTAAAATTTTGAATTCAGGAATGCATTATTTCAATCGGTAATATTTTTAATTACTTCTCAGTAATGTTTGATAACTGTGTGTGGTACTTCACACAGGTGCCCAGAGTGTGATGGCGCAGGTTTTGTCAGGAAATCAGGAAGCGCGCTGAGGGCAAATGCAGCTCGCAAGGACCAAGCTCAAATTGTATGTGCTAATTGCAATGGCCTTGGCAAGCTCAACCAAGTTGACAAATAAATTTTACTCCTATCGCCTTTTAAAATCATGCTTTTCGCCATCTAATTAGATTAATTTCATGTTTGGATTGACTAATGTACAAAACTTTGGAGGTCATATTCCTGTAATAATCTTAATTGATTTAAGACACGGGAATATTCGTATGTGTTTAGTATTATTGGTGATTATTACGAGAATATGACTCCAAAAAGTTCATATAACTTCGAGTTCATCAAATGTGGGATTACTGTACGAAAGATGCCCAAAAGTTCCAATTATATAGTTGTATGATGTTTTGTTAATTTTTCCCTTTGATACATTATCAGCAAGATGGAAATCTGATACAACCTTTGTGTTTGTGAAATGCTTATGAACTTAAACAAGGTCAAGTTTCATCAATTGACATAAAATATGGTCTACAATCATTGACACTACCTTGTTTGTGTACTCAAATAAACATGAACATAATATATAAAGCTAACAAAATCAATAGAATGGTCTGTAATGACCAAGTTCATACTTGTATCATTGAGTATACTAATTTGGACAATATGTGTCTTAATTGACCAAGTTAATATAAATTTAGTCATAGACATAAGTTCATGTCAACGGATGTTGTCAATTAATGTAATTTTGCATACTTTTAACTAATAGCTTCACCTTTGGGAGGAAAATAGTAAAATTTATATTGAGACGAATCCAATAAAATCCCATATGATTATATTACTCATTCATAATATGCCCCAGTAATATCTATATTTTTATTTGTATTTTATTATAAAAGAAATCTCAAAATGACACTAATTTTCATCAACCAAAGTTATACCGCATCTATAGTTAACAAAAATTAACGACAAAAAGTCAAAAAATAACCAAGTTAAAAAAGAGTTTACGACTGAGAATCTAAATACATAGATATAATAATTCAATAGATTCTTGATTCGTTGTCTTATACAACTTCATACATGGATCCATCATTGCTTTGTAAGAGGAAGTTTATACCAATAATTACTCTTGTCATGAATGACAATAACAAGTATATGTTGGTATTTTTAGATCCCACTACTTTTAATGTTTTACTACGTATTAAGAACAAAAGGTATATAATCCCGAACACATTCCCAAACTTTATACAACGTTTCCCCTCAACTTTAAAGACGCACAAAGGACGGCCTTGAGCTACCAAGCCGACATAATCAGCCCCTTGTCGAATTACTACCTCCGTTCTTCATCACTTGAGGGTCGGCTATCATGCATGCACCCACAAAATATAACAAGCAGGGTTGATGAAATGGAAATCGTGTCAGATCTAGCTACTTGCATACGACTGATGCGAGTGTTGTAATAATCAATAAAAGGGAAGTGATTGCTGACCTTCTTAGAAAGCAATAGTTTCTCTACAATATTGGTAATGGACCTGAAGTAAGCTAAAATGATCCCAGTGTTATGCATCATCTTTTAACACTCCAAATCTCTATAACTATGATGCTGCCTACGCTCAGAGGCAGAGCTGGCGTAGTGTAATAAAATACTGAAACCAAATGATCTTATAAAGAATTGATAGGAAAGAAGGATCTAACTCAAATATACTACTCTGTAAGTAGTTTTCAAAATTTGCTATTCGGAACCATCTTGGAAATGACATGTCCGGTAGAACTATAGCCATATTTGGTCCAAGTATGATAAGTAATAACTTACTCCGGAGTACAAGATACCTACTTTCAAAGTTTCAAGTACTATCAAGATGGAAAGTTATTCGTATTAAATCCAAAGTTCAATGCATTCCTCACCATATTAGTAATTTGGATTTGATTTTCGAAAATTGGATTTTCAGATCTAATTGGATTGAGTGTGCTTCAAACTTTCAATCAAAAACGCAACATACAAAAATTATACAGTATAAATAGTTTTCCTTGAGAGTAATACAAAAATATATTGGTGCTGTAATTTTAGACTTTTATATACTCTTAAGATGGTTATGTAGGTTTCAAGACTCAGGTAAGACTTAGGTAAGACTATTAATTTGTATATTCGGATTGTATCCAAATGAGCTAATCTTGGATCAGTTTAAACCAGATTGAATTTGATGGAAATTAAGGATGTAATTAATTCAAATTTCATTATACAAACGAGTGTAATTTACACATTTTAACATTCTCCTTCACATGTCATTGCCCATGTAAGTCCAGTCATGTACTCATCATGTGAAAGCAAATAAAAGTACACATAAATGTGTCAATAGACTGTCAAACGGCAGAAGCCACAGACAGTAAATGACAGGAATAAGCACCTTCACATCTAATTCCTAACTGAAACAGCTCAATTAATTTTTCTTCAATATCACTCATACAACTGAAACAATATTCAGTGAACAAGGGATTAGAAGCTGCTTCCACTTCATTACCCATGGTTCTTAGACTTGCCACTGCAAGATCTTTGATACTCCGTACTAAATATTGCAAGATTAAATGACAGCTAAATACAAATTATCAAGATCAATATATCATATACGAAGTGATCAATAATTCTAATAAATCATTACAGAGTAAATAAGATCAACAGCACTATCACTTTCAAGTACAAGATTGTCTCTACTCTCTAACACTAAACCTTTTGTAGACATGGATATTCAGATTACTTCACCAAACTTATCTTTCATATTCATATAGAAATTTATATACAGGTAAAAAAATATATAAATAATAGTCATTACAACTCCTCATATAGTTAGTAGTTTGTAGCACACTAGCACCTGATGAGACAACCATGATCTAAGCTCCATCAAACAATCGATCGAAACTACTAAATTGCCCCGCCATTAACGTGCTCCAATCTATTTTCTAAACACCAAATGTCCATCCTTGACTCTGTCTCCTCCTGAATAATGAGCGGGAACGAGACACACTTCTCCCAGCTTCAACACTCGAACGAGACGATGAGCTTCTTCTATTTCTCCTGAACAAAGTAAAGACACTACGAAAAGCACGAGCCCAACCCCGGCTTCTACCTGACCTACTCTCCCTCAATGGCCATGAAATCCTTCGGAAATCATCATTATTATCAAACCCTCCTCCATCCATTTCCGTATAAACAACAGGAAACAAACCCTCCTCTGCCGTTCCCCTCCCACCGAGAAACCTACCAACGGCGAAACCTCCACCAGGCAGTCTCCATATCCTCAACCCCAACATCATCCCATCATCCGATTCCCTAACATCATTCTCACTAATACCATTATCAGTCGGCAACTTAAACCGACAAACGGGGCACGAATTATGCAACAACAACCACGGAAGTATACAATCCGAATGATAAATATGCTTGCAGGGTAATTCTCTAGCATTCATATCAATCTCAAACTGATCTTTACAAACTGCACAATGTGATTCAGATCCTACATGACTATCAACAATTCTAACAAAAGGAATAGATTCAACAGCCGATTTCGAAGCAGGCGGATTATCATCCATACTATTCAAACTACCATTAAAATCTAATTGCCCTAATTGATGAAGAATCCGATCAAAACCCGAACCCATTAGAAATTCAGCAACACTAATCGGCAAAGGGCGAAGCCCTAAACCCGAAGTATCATCATAAAACAATTGATAAGTAGGAGGTGAAGTTTCATCAGTTGAATTAGGAAGAGCAATTACCGGATTGATCGAAGAAGGAGAGCTACGAATAAGGCGAGAATTGTCAGGAGGAAGAAGCCTGGCGGCAGTAGGAGAAGAGATTGGAGAAAGAGGGGAGAGAGTAGATGAAGCGTCGATTCCTTCGACGAATCCGCCGCCACAATCTGGGCAAATTGCGATGTGTTGCGTATGAACCCTAATGAATCTGTCGCATCGATGGCACCAGAATGTTGATCCATTTGAATCCATTAGAATGATTTTGAGTTAATGGAATTTAATTTGCAGTTGAAATAGAGAGAGAAAAATGGGATTTGTGTTTTGGTGTAGTTTTACTTTAGCTGAAATGTAAGAAGTTTCGTTTTATGCTGGTGGTATTGAGTGCTTGTGTTTTGTTGTAGCGTGCTGCTTGCTTTTTATATTCTTGAAAAAGGCTTTCTTTCTGGTTTCTATTTTTGAATGACCATGTCAATGTTGGCTGATTTTGACCAGTTTTATCAATTAGTAAAAGCTAGTCTCGAGACTAGAGACTAGAGACTAGAGACTAGCTATGTAATTGTAGTCCCTTGTTAAAAACAATTCATTTCACGATATTCATCGGATCATTCATTTCGTAATAATCATAATAGTTGGCAGTGGTGTCTGGTGGAGCCAGGAGTTTTACAATGACACGGCACCGTAACATCTGAAACCCTTTTATCAAATCTTAAAATCTTTTTTAAAAAACAAAATTAAGATACATATACGTGTCACATAGTAATCGTGAAAGAATCTTCTTAATATCAAGATTCAAAATTACTTAGATATCATATTTGTCAAACCTTATAGATAGTGAGGGATAGCTTAAGTGGTTAGAGCTTCCCTCCCGATTCCAGGATATACTGGGATTGATTCTCAACCCCGCCCTTGTGGCTCTCTAAAAAAAAAATTGTCAAAGGTGTAGTCATACGTGTAAAAAGATATATTACAATTACTCCGTATTAAACTTGATGAGTCATAGAAAAGGTAATGTTCCAACCACTAGATTGTTGGTAAGCTTGAACATAAATAATGTATGTACTTTGTATTTTATTTCTAAAAAAAAATATTCAACTAACTTTTTAATTTTTTTTTTTTTTCTGGCAGGGCACGTGGCCTACCAAAACATAAGGCCACTAATAGTAGCCATGACACATAGTTGAAAAAATTATAGGGTGGGATTAACAAATAAATACAGAAATTTTTGTGAGAAGCCACCTTTTAAATTTTTGTTTATAAATTATATTGTAAATCATGACAATAAATGTGACCATCATATTTTGTTGAAGGATGTTTGATATCATTTGTTTTTTTTTTTTTTTGGATGGGAAGAAAATGTTATAATTAATGAATAGTCATACAACATCTACAATATATAATAGCATTGATCTATAAACAACAAATTTAGAGAAAATAACATAACTTGTACAATCAAAATCATAACTAGTTTGCATATTTGGCATAGCTCACACTCCACCGCTTCAAGTTTGACGCGAGCAGTGACTTTCAATGTCTTTATATCTTTCCAAGCAGAGACCTTCACAATCTACGCTAATATTCTTATCGTAAAGTTGATGACAAACCCTAAATCCATATGAATCTAAATCACCTTCCCAATTATTAAAACCCTAAAAGTAAATTTCTCATCCATAAAAGAAAGTTTATACATATATATATCTATATATATCTATATCTATATATATATATATATATATATATATATATATATATATATATAGGGTCGAGATCCGTGAGAACCACCCTTTATGTAAGAACCCACACCTTATGTAAGGACAAATCTCAGCCGCTAGATTAGATGAAATCCAACAGTTGAAATTATAACTCAAAGCTTGCCTAACTAACAAATTTTATTATCTTCAACCTCTGCTTTATCTCTCTCCTCTATTCTGTTTGCAAATCAATGGCGATTTATTGATTATGCTCGAAACTTATCAATGGCAATTCATTTATTATGCTCTTATTTCTGCACCTCAAATTATCATCGGTCGACAATTTCTCTCTCCTATTCTTGTTAAACAGTAAACAATTTCAACAGTCAACAAATTCATCAATCATTGAGGTTTGTTCGGACTTTTAATTTTGAATTGCATGTTAATCTTAATGCTCAAAATATTTTGATTTTACATCTCTAAAAATTTTGGAATTGCATCAATTATTGAATTACATGTTAATTTTTGAATTGCATTAATCATTGAATTGAATGTTTAATTGCATCAATTATTTTATTGAATTGAATCAATTATTTAGGTTTGATTAATTTGATAGAGATTTTAATATATATCATATTAAACTTGATAGTGATTGTAATGATGTCAAATTAAACTTATGATAAAAAATTAAGAAATGTTCTGAAATTTCCAATTGAATGCTCTTATTATGTTTTTAGTAGGTTCTTAATTTCAATTGAATGCTGTTATTATGTTCTTATTTTCAATCAAATTTAAAATGAGCAAACCTAAATATGTATTATAGAACATTTCTCACTGTTTTCTGAAAATGTTATTGAACAAACTAGAATTAAAATGAGCAAATATTAATGAGATTCACAAGTAATTCAGGGATCTATAAGTACTCAATATACACAATATGCACAATAATGCATTTTTCTTTTCCAAATACAGGAGCAAAAATAATTAAAATGAGCAAATATAACAAAATGAGCAAACATTTGACAAATGAGCATTGAATTATTTGCTCATTTGACAAATGAGCAAAGAATTGTATGCTTATTTCACATATGAGCATTGAGTTATTTGCTCATTTGACAAATGAGCATTCAATTATTTGCTCATTTGACAAAAGATCAAAGAATTGTTTGCTTATTTCACAAATGAGCATTGAGTTCCTTGGTCTGCTTGCCTGCGCACAAGCCCCACCCCTTCTTCTTGGTCTTTTTCCTGCACACCAACCACACTCCCTTCTTCCACTTCCCTGTACAAACCTATCCCCCCTGCCCCCTCATCTTTCTGCTTGCAGTTCTGATTTCAGAAACTGATTTCAGTTCTAATTTTAGATTCTGAAATTATTGTGTGTGTGTGTGTGTGGGTGTGTGTATGTGTGTGAGTGCGAGTGAGTGTAAGAGTGTATGTATAAGTGTGTGTGTTTGCTTCCGACCGTGTACATTCTTATTTAAGAATCTGATTTCAATTCTAATTATTAAGTGTGTGTGTAAGTGTGTTTAAGGGGGTGCATATTCACTTGTTACTATTTTTTGGAATTGTTAATGACTTGTTATTTCTATTATGTTTAATGACAGAAATGATGAGGAACAACGAACAACTTGAGAGTCATTCTAGTACCATCACAAATGTGCCAACTACTCCTACAATAGTAGTTTCTCCTAAAGTAGCACCTTTGCTCACTCCTGGAGGAACAAAAGAATGGCTTCTAATATGCCCCAATGAGTTGAAACCAGCTATAGGGATGAAGTTTAATAATCTTGAAGAGGGCCTTGAATTTTATAAAAGTTACGCATTTGCTGCTGAATTCAACACAAGAAAGTCTACAATTAAAAGACAAAGAAGAAGCAAAGAATTGAAATCACAGTATATCTTATGCAATAAGGAAGGATACAAAGAGAAAAGAAAGGCTACTGTTGAAAAAGATTTAAATAACAAGGAAGGAGAAAGCAATGAAGAAAAATCTTCAATCAAAAGGAAGAGACTCGTTACTCGTGTTGGGTGCAAGGCACATATTGTCATAAAACATTGTGATGATAACAAATTCATAGTGACAAAATTTCATGAGGGACATACTCATGCACTTTATACACCTAGATGCAATCTCTTCCAAAAAGAAGGAAGTAAAATGAACATATTGCACAAAAAAATAATTGTGAATAATTCTAAGGTAACACTTTCCAAGTCTCTTATGTTTCATGAATTCTCTATATGTACTAATAAAAGCTGTTTGCTCATTTGAACAATGAGCATTGAATAGTTTACTCATTTGAAAAATGAGCATTAAAATGTTCAAATGAGCAAGCAAATAATTAAATGAGCATTGAATTGTTTGCTCATTTTAAAAATGAGCATTGAATTATTTGCTCATTTGACAAACTGTTTTATTCTTTAAATAGGTGAATATTGGTCCCATTACAACTTTTCGAATGATGAAGGAAATTGTTGGAGGATATGACAACATTGGTGCATCTAAGCAAGATTTCAAAAATTTTTATAGAGATTTAAAACAATACATTCAAGGAAGCGATGCTCAAATGTTCGTGGATAACTTTACCAACAAAAAGCTAATATGGAGTGTTTTTTTTCTTTGATTTTGAGATGGATGAAGATTATTGCCTTTGAAGAGCATTGTGAGTAGACCCCCTTCGTAAAAAGAGTTATGCTCTATTTGGTGATATGGTATATATCCTTTGATACCACATACCAAACCAATAGGTAATTCATAATAATCACAATTCATTTCTATGTTATAACTATGGCTTAACTTAATGACTTTGTTTAAATGAACTTAGTATAATTATTTGCTTACTTCAATGTGAAAAGTGAATATCCCCATAAGTCTAATATTCTTTGATAAGAGTATGTATGTGGGAATTGATTTGCATGTTCCTTTGACAAATGAGCATTGAATTATTTGCTGATTTAACAAATGAGAAAAGAATTATTTGCTTATTTCACAAATGAGCATTGAGTTATTTGCTCATTTGACAAATGAGCATTCAATTATTTGCTCATTTGACAAAAGAGCAAAGAATTGTTTGCTTATTTCACAAATGAGCACTGAGTTATTTGCTCATTTGACAAATGAGCAATCAATTATTTGCTCATTTGTCAAATGAGCATTGAATTATTTACTCATTTAAAATTTAATTTGTATGTGTAAATAGGTACAACATGGTGTTTACTCCATTTACAGGGGTTGACCATCATAAGAGCTGCATTACTTTTGCTGCTGGTTTCATAGCAAAGGAAAATATTGTGTCATTTAAGTGGCTGTTCAGATCATTTCTCAAGGCAATGGGTGGGAATGAACCTAATTGTATGATCACGGATCAGGATCCAGCAATGAAAATTGCTGTTAGAAGTGTGTTTAAGAAGACTGAACATCGGTTCTGTATGTGACACATAATGAAAAAGTTACCAGATAAGGTGGAGAAATCAATCATGCAAGAAGAAACTAGTTTCCTAAAAAAATTATGTGCTTGCGTTTGGCATCTTGAAATTGAACTCGCTGAGTTTGAAGAAAGGTGGAACAAGGTGATGATTGAATACCGCTTGGAACACACATGAGTGGTTAGGTTATATGTATAAGATAAGAGACAAGTGGATTCCGGCGTATTTCAGAGATGTGTTCCTTGGAGAAATAATGCGTACAACATCAAAATCTGAAACTGAAAACAACTTTTTCTGCTCCTTTATCAATC